CTAGCCACATGTTAACATGACCAGTCCTTGTCATTTATGACAATTGTTATTTCTTAATTTTGACCAACTAGTATAAACACCAGTTCATAAACGGCCATCTTTGATTTTATACATATGTATATATTGTGCATTGATTTTAAATACATTTCTCGATTTTCTCGGTAACGCACGTGCCTTTCACGTAGCTGTCCGGAGTTCGATTCCCGGAATGGATGTGAAAAGGTATGGGGTCACCTGTCTGACCACGTGGGTTTCCCCCGGGTACTCCGGTTTCCTCTCAAACTTAGACCCCTTGCGCGGTTCCATCCGAGCCAACAAGAGTGATTAATATAAGTTGGAAAAACTTGATTCGCAATTGTTGTAAAATAAATAAAGTTGATCATTTAACATTTCTCAGTTTTACTTATATTTTTTCTATAATATATAAATAAAGTTGTAATATATTTATAAACATTAATGTGTATGTATTTTCTAGCAATGAACTAATAGCAACACGTGATATCCGCATGTGTTTCCAATAAAAAATGTGTGAAGTTACTTTCAATTTAGATATACAATACATGTTTATTAAAACCACTTAGATATAATTATGTGTAGTAACTAGAGGTAACTGTATACATTTCACCATTTTGATGTAATACAGTGAGATCTCCATACCGTTTAAATAAAACTGACTGTGAACATTACTTATCTATAAAAAAATAAAATATTATAAATTTTACAACGTTTTTCATGTAACCGACGAGAGAAAATTGGGTTATATTAAGATTTTCAGATTTCCTAAGCCCTTCCCCCTCCCCACTTCCCCTCAACACACACATCCCTCTATCTCCAAAGTACGATTAAAGTCTAATATTTTGTTACATAATAAAAATTAAATAATTTCATATCTGTCTTTCTATATTTGATAACTATATTTATGAAGAATAACCATCATGGTTTGTTAAATATTAAACCAGTTTAAGCGTCTGTTTTTCTGTACGCATGGTTCCTATTTAGCTGTACCGGTACAGCAGTGTGCGATGATTGGGACAGGCATTGATTTGTCTGCTACTTTCTTTACTGTGTATACAGGGACTCGCGATAGGAGCATTCTAATAGACAGGACGATTCCAGTCCGGATAATCTTCCCGATAGCTGCAGAGTGTGAGTGCGGACCTTAGATACGGCTATCGGATTAAGGGGCCTAGCTTTGTAACATAAAATGAAAACATTTTCATCATCGATAGATATATCTGCCTTTGTGTGAAGTATGGACTTGTAAAAATCCTGTATGTAGTGGTGTTGTCCCCGTCTGTTAGGCAAACTGCTCACTTCCCGAGATCCTCGATAAAATAATAGCTTTGAAATCGAGTCTCGCATGCAGAAAGCATGGCTCCAAAATGCGAAGTATGCTGGTACGTCGGAGGTGTGACTTCCCCCCTCCCGGGAGGGATAAGACACGAGGACTCTGTGACCCGGCACAGATTCCGTAGATACCCAACTGACACACGCCTAACTATCACAAATCAGTGCCCATTTGTTCACCTCGATTTTCTAACAGATATATAGATAATAATTAATTCTGTGCTCACATATCTACATTACATTACTTAACATCACTGTAATAACATATTCCAGGATAAACATCACAGAACGCGATGTCTGCACTTTCCTCTATAGCACAACCAATATCAAACATCTCCATCTTTTTATGAATTTGTACTGTTAAAACACATAAGAAAAAACGCACTCGTGGTTTTGAACTACGATGATAAAAGACCTTGTTTTACAAGTTCAGCTTATAATAGTTCAGTATCTCTGTAATTTTTAACAATCAAAATAGTTATATATAGACGGATAGAAGAGCCGAGCTGATTGCGCAGAACGTTATTGAAACGTGCTTTAAAGATATATCACATTTCGTATTTTTGTTTTATATGTAAACGCAATGATTTAATCACGGTTTTTTGTTCTGTACTTACTTGTTTCTTATCTGAAGTGAGTTTTTTACTCGACATTTTCAAAACGTAATTATATATTGTTTAATTTCATTATTTTTGTTTTTATTATTCGATTTTTTAAAATTATAACGATATTTGTGTTGAAAACACTAAAACACCAACGTGTAATATCACCGTGGTTGATATTAAGATACAAAATATTTCTTTTTTATGATTCATATTTCTATATATTATTTATATATATTTATATTTTTATAAATTGATCCAACATTGCTATAAGGAGCATTTAATAGAAATTCATTACACGCAATATATTCAAATTGTCATTTACGTGCACAAACGTATAGATAAATCATAGACTTTCCGGTTAATCTCCGCACTTTAAAATCAAGATATTTCCACCATCAACGACATGTACAAAAGTTCTGATAATAAATGTGTATGATTTATTGATATTTTAAATATCATTAGGCAATATATAAATTAACAAACATGCACATGGATTTTTTTATTATTGGTTTTGTTTTAAAAAAAATCCTTCACATCAATTTAAATTTGATATTTATGACGATATGTATCGTTTATTTACTACTGTTAAAATATAAAGAAACTGAAGCTTGTTTTTATTGATACATATTTGTGGACACATTGTCATTTCTGTCATTTTTTTCAACATATGATATGTTTTGACACGATGACACTGATTGCTTCCTGCTATTATTCAACATAAAAAAACACGATGAGATATTTGCCAAGCATTCCGTCCTGTGTGATCATTCTAACACACAAGTGCGGACTTACCACCGATCACTGTCTATCATACTCGCCCTGCACAAGGATATTGAATTTGAAATTTGTAATTGACAAAGTATGTTTATATCAAAATGTGAAATATATTCACTGAATGAAATAGATTGTTACGAACAGCAAGCATTGATTCATGTCACAAATTTCAATTTGAAACTTAATTAGATTGTACTTAATAGATTAAAAGACACTAGACTAGTTATCAAATTATACAGCGCATGTAGAAATGAATTATGTCAAAATATTTTTATGTTATTATTCAAAAATGCAATATTGTTGGAATGTTCAAAGCCACATATCCAACTCGAAAGAAATGTACACATGCTCATGTCATATATCAGACCATACACTGTAAATATACTGACCACCAAATACTTTAAAGAAAAATGATATTTTTTTTATTAAAAGAACGCGAAAGGCAGATTATGCTGTAAATACAATTGACTTATTTAGTTTATAATCATATATAGTTTTCCCCACTAAATATTCATTTTTTCTGTATGTTCATATGGTTTTATAGCAAAGCTTTGTATATAGAATTTATGTGTTCTATGGGAAATCAGCACAATTGCTTTGAATCAATGAACGATGTGTATATTTGTAGTTAGCTACAATGCGTACAAAGAAACTATTTCTCGTTGTCTGCTGTTTCCAAATAAAATATCAAGATTTGTTAAAAAATTAAGTTGACATATTGGTATTTTTCTGTGTTTTTTCTCCCGTTATAAATTCTGTTTCTATATATAACCTATATTTCTGCTTGTTAGTTACGTTTTGGAGAGAAAGTTTTATTACGGGAACAAATTATGACAAAACAAAAGAATGTATGTAACATTTTTATTCAAAAATAAAACGAACAGCTAGTGATAAATACATCGACACATAGGAGTTGTAGAGAGACGCTTGTAACACGGATACATGGAATGAGACTGACATCAATGAGTCTAAAAATAGACCCCATATTGGTCAGTATTTACATAACTGACCACTAACAACCGTCGACAGAGAAACACTATTTTAGATTAGCTTATTGCAAAAAAAAAAAAAAAAAAAACATTCAAATATATATTTTTTATAATAATATTGTTCTTTTGAAACGCATTAGGAAATCCATTTTGACATACATCGAATTCGTCAGCACATGAATTTTTTAAATCCTTTTTTAACAAAATTATTTAAAAACTGATTTGTTTTAGATAAAATAGAATCTTTATAATGAAATTTCTTCACATAATACAACAATTTGGTCTTGAATAATAATTCGATAAAATTTATTAATTTACTAATTGATAACAATTACTGTTTTACGTACTGGAAAAAGTCTACCACTCTCCCTTAATAAAACTTTCTAACTGCAAATAAAATTGACCATCACATCAGTAGCAAGACTTAAAGAAAATAATTCAATAAATTTGACTGCCATTTTCATTTTTCTAAAGTAAGTAATAACGTTTTATTTGTATTAAAAGTCAATGCATGAAGCCGCATGGGGAAACAATATCAGTTGCATTTCACCAATAATAATACGAGTGTCCATTTATTTATTACACAAAATGAACGCGTTATGTACTATTGTCAAACAATTGGTTTTGAACGAGACAGATAGGACATTATGAAGAAAGAATAAAATCTCCTCAAGTCGCTCTCGTGTTCAAGATCGGTGAAATTAAGTACTATGAAAGTGACAAGAAAGATGTCTCGTGAAGCGAGTCAACAACACTGTCAATATATAAATGGACACGTTACCCTGTAGGCTGCTGTCAATCACTGCTAATTTCGCTGTAAGAATCATTAAGTCTGGGTAAACACCTCTTCTCTCACAGCACTTAGCGAAATATTTAGCACTTAAGTTTAAACCGAGTCTTTAATAAGCTTCACGTAGCTATATTAACCTTTCAATCCCAGCCGAACAAGCTCAATATTGCGGGGCGAAGAGTCAAGCCTCCATGCCGCAAATCGTCCTGAGGTCACTATCACCTGGGCGCTTGGGCCCAAACGTCCTACATTTACCAAGTCCAAGCCCTAAAACGGGTCTAACATTGGTGTAATAGGAGTTTTTTACGACTCCCTAAAACCATATTAAAGTTTATAGACCTGGGGAGGACGCCCGGTGGCCTATTTTCACGAACAATTCTACTTTCGAAATGTCCTGCCACCTCAATATGATCACACCAGCCAGCTAATTCGCTAACTTGTAACATCGTCACCGAGAAACACTCGGAGTCTCTTGTGTTCCTTACTAGATATTATCTAGCCAAGGGGGTTTGAAATTCTGTCTGTTGGTCTCACGTCCCTTGTAGGGGAATATATTGAAGAAAGGGGCGGATATGGCCTCAGAAGCGATGAATTATTAACGGGAGTAGTAAGCCCATTAAAGTTAGGTGTGACAAGAGATTTGTCACTTTGAGGACTCACATTTGTGTAACCGTTCGTGTTGGGAGAGAACATGGAGCTGCTAAGAGGGAAAGCACTGTCCATCCAGGGTCGGACCGTTGAAGTGGTGGGGATGTACGGAGCGCTCACCCGCGAGAAGTTCAGAGGCAGGCTCTGATCAGGGGAAGTCGTGGATGAGGTAGTAGTCGTTGATGATGTTGCGACATGTGCAATAGACCATATCCGGGGTCTGAGAGGGTCGCTGTGCTCTATACTGGAGTTGTTGAGAGATAAAGAGCTGTTGACGTCACTGAGACCCGAGTCGCTACTATTCGAACAAGGAGATTCCAGTCTCTTAGAGTCCGGCAAGGGAGGCTTGAGTTCTGTGACGGTTTTCTGGAGGCTTGACGGCATCAGACCCGTGTCATCTGTGACTACGCCCATCGGTACCATTCCTAGCAAATCTGTCTTCAGAGGGAACGGTTCTCTTACAACTTGGTCAAGTTTCTCTTTCTTTAGGTCTAAAATATAGCAAAAAATGATATGGTTAAGATGGTGTTGGTAATCAAACACTATCATAAAATCTAAAAAATGATACATCTTTATTCCGGAAATATTCAACTGAACAAGAAGAAAGTCAAGAAACAAAAAAAACAAAAAATATGCTACACTGAAAATATGATTATATTTGTTGACATTTTAAAAGGTTGGACGTGGTATTTACACTTAATTGAGACCAAACCACCCCTTCGATAATTTACATCAGCTTTTTCATCGGGTTTATCGCCCACACACAGGGGACCACTCATATCTACATTTTGTATGCTTAAGCGATTTCGTTTTGAGTTGACAGAAAAGGGAAAAGAGATTGGGTTTGGGGGATCTCTTGTATGTCTGAGCGGTCCATTATCCATCAAACGAGAAGACGTATCAATTTGACGGAGGACATTTCTGCTGTACTAATCCCTTCCCCTGTCAGACTTGATCACGTGATCCTCCTGTCCCGTCAGGATTAAGTGTAGCACAATAGGTAAATCTCATAGCAATCGATATCTTGCAGCACCTGCATAAACCCCCCATCAAAGGCAATTTGGACCACCAACAGGGACACACGGTAACGGTAAAGGTCGGGAAAGAAGGCCTATCGCTTATTATGGGAAATCTCTCTTATTCTCACGAAAATGTATTCTAGAGCCTAATTACTTCTATTGAATAAATTCAAAATAACCTTATTGGAAGATTTGGTTATCATTGTATTGTAAAATGACCATGCCTAAAATGTTTGTTTTATTTCTACAACCTTGAACACCGAAGTACCAATGCTTTATTTTGTATCCTAATCATTAAAACTGTTATTTGTATTCCATACGAACTATTGAAATAACGATTTTTTTATGCTTGAGTAAAAAATTTTACAAAAAGAAAATTGCAAATACTGATAAAGCACTTAGGTCAGATTTATATCAAATTCTAAAATGGCATCGCCATCGTAATAGTATCCCTATCAACTGAAAGAATTCACGACTTTGTGTCACGTGATGTACGTCACTGAACCTACACCATTCAACTATGTAAAACAAACAAATTTATAAAATGTTATTTGTAAACAATGCTTAGGTGGGATACTTCGATATTTGGCAATTTCTAATTGGCCATTCCTGTTTTATCATAATCCATGTCTATTTTTGAAAATAGCATATCTCATAATAACGAGAATCCTAACAATTGCACCGGATTGATTCAACATCCACGCATAATATGGATTAGTATTGATAATTGTTGCAGGGGTCAATATTATCTGTTCTGATGTACAAACACAAAAAACACTATCTTTCGACGTTTTACTTATAGTTCGTGTTGTGAGTTTGTCATTTAATTTAAAACCTTGCCAGTTCATATATATTTTTCCTGTTTTTTTTTATTCCTATTTTATTTTCCTTATTAAGCACGAGTTCCGATTTCGGCCTTGTGTGTTATCACTGTGGTATGTTAATTCTACTTTGCTTTACAATGTTCTGTAAATTGTGTTGAGATAGCCATCGATACAATATTACATTAACACAGGTAATTAACTGTATCAGAGTTTTCGCGAAATTTTGTTCAAGTTATAATCTTGATATGTTAATGTGATTTTTTTTTCTAATTTCACTTTAACGTTATTAAGTTTTATTTTTACAGGACTCCTCGAAACCCCGGATACGGGAGGAGTCACGGAGACGAAAAATTTGCCAATCAATCAATCAATATTGATACAGGTCTTAAAAATGTTGTGAACAAATACAATGTGCCCGTAATATTTTGTATCAAATAATTAGGTAAACATAAATATAATGTAATTATATTTCATTATCTATAATTACATACTATTTACAAATATATGATAAAGAACCAAATGCAAAAAACATAACTCAAAACGAACTGATCCCGGATCTCTTAAATTGCTGAATGTACGTAAATCTGAGAACCGTTATCCAGGTAATATACCCTGTCAATCCGATTCATACATATCATAATCATTATGAAGACATGCCCCGTCTGTACGATTGTTGCCGAATGTTGAATTATATCAAAATATCTAGAGAAACTGTTTTAGACCCTGAATTTGTATTAGTAATTTCTGTTTATTCATGTATGCACTTTATGTATATCTAATTCAATATGTTTATGTAAAGAAAAATCTTTTCAACAAAATTCAGAATATCTCAATTCATTGAAGGAAATTGTTCGTCGTGAAGGAGCTGACAAAACGGCATATTTGTCACAATGATGCATGCAGGGGGTTTATTAACACAACAGAGAGGTTTTATTCATTGGGAGGTAACTGAGAATATTTGTGGTTTAAGGTCAGAGCTGGTCGCCCTCCACCTATCATTAACTCTGGTATCTGTTTATTTAGTGACGTAATATATCTGGTTTTCCCCTGTTTGAGTTTCATTATGAAAACTTCCATTAAGTATTCTAGGATGACAATTGTAAATTTTAATATTTTTTAGTACTAAACATTGTTTACTGGCAATCTACGACGCCATTATAGATAATGATATGAAATGATCACAGATAGTTATTTTTATATTTCGTGCAATAGGGTTCCTGTAGAAAATCAAAATGGTTTACAAGTATTTTTAATTAACGGCTGTTGATAATTCAAAACAGAGCTGCATTTTGTTAAGATTAGTCTCTGTTAGCTCTACGCTTTATGTAAAGTATACAAACAGTATATTGGCTTTGTTTTGTCGGGAACACAGCCAGATTGTGTTTCTATAATTACGATATAGTAAGTTGCAAACCCCGAATAGTACATAGTACACCGATCTACAGTCTAGAAACACTAATTACAGCCTAAGTGTTTATACCGTATAAAATCTCACATTAGAAAGAAAAAAAGGGAATTCTTGGAAAGTCTCAGAAAGAAAGTAATTTTGATTTAAAACTATCTGATTCCATTTTAAAGTCATACAAATACAATATTAACCTTAAAACGATATCATGGTACGGAACGATATAAATGAAATATGAAATAATTTCAAAATGAGGCAATTTTGCTGTATATTTCTTTCTCAATTCCCTTTTCTTTTCTTTTTCAGAAATTCAAATTGAAACAGATGATCCATTTAAGAGCTCGTTGATTACATCTTAAATCTTGAAATAAAACACAATTTTACCGTAATGCCAAAAAGCCGCTATATCATGACAGAGATATAACGTATAAGCATATACAGATAAATTTGATAAATGTGTTATATTTGGTAAAATAACTTCCTTGTCATTTTTAACAGATAATGAATATGGTATTTGCAAAGACAAGTAACCTGATTACCCGTAAGCTGTAACCCTATACTAAATTCCTGTGTAAACTTTTATTATTCAAAAAAAAATATATATATATATAAAAGATATAAATAACAACATTTATTTGTTTTTGTTGTTGTTGTCAATACGATCTTTTAATTTACGTAAAAAAATCTTGATTCTGTTAAGATTTAATCGCTGGTTGAAAAAATAAAATTTAGAGAATTGTCCGTGAAGTTTTGACAGGTAAATGTAACTGAATCCAGTCAGTGGTTTCAGAACACATGTTGAACTTCCATCAAAATCAACCTTTTTTGAGTACTTATATTTTCGATTGTTTTATTTCAATAATAACATATATTGTTTAAAGATTTTTTGAAACTTATCATTTTATTTAATACAATGAATTAGATACAACAAGGTATAGATAATGACACATTATGCACTTCCACATATACACCTTAGCACTCACAGGACATAGTAATATTTTTGCACGTCTGCAGTCTTATAACAACTTTCAAAAACATAAAATTCAACTACTGATGAATATGTAATATTTTACCACCAATATTATCTATAATTCTAAAAATAGATATTATAGATTTTTTTCCCTGTTGATTGATGTATATCCGGATGAATCATACGAATTCCATAAGGCTGCCAATAAAACAAGAGAAGTCCGCCGCCATCCTGGCGTTTGTATGGACGGCACACGGTAAAGATCGAGAGTCTCCGAACAACGTGATTAATGATTATGTCGGACCTAGCTGGGCGATCAATGTTGTCAAAACCATTAAGAAATAAAACATATTAGGAAAACAATTAATACCTGACGGAAGTAGGCTCTAGTAAAAATGACATAATTGGCGAAACAAAAATGGCAGATGATACGTGAACTAATAGATAATGCGTGTAAGCAGAGACGACCTAGCGGTCGTGCTGACGGACAAACGAAGTCTCCGTCTCTCTCGATACACGTCATACTGGACGCCGAACAACTAATGGACATAACACATGTTAATTGAAAGAAGACAAATGAAGATCGTGATCTCTGTGGTTTTTTGCCTTCTTTATTTCTTCATAATAGACGTTGGTGAAGAGAAGACTAATAAACATCAGTGTTTCGTCCCTTTAATATCCCAGCTCCCAATGTGGCATGGACGTTAATGTGCTTTGCCGCACTTTTTATGAAGGTTTCTGTCACCACAGACCACGGCGGTATCAGTTTGTCTTCATGACACAAAGGATGAGGATTTACCTACAGTCGGTCGTTACATCAGCAGCGCTTGATTGCGTTTGAACCCTAATGAACCGATTCGATATTCGAGGGTTGTCAAAGTAAAACGGATTTTGAGATAATTTGTTGTCTATGTAACACCAACCAGAATACTGCAAAATGATAATGTCCATGTATTCAGATTTTCTGATAACCTCGTTTTTATTTTATAATGTAAAATTTATTTACCCAGGTGATTGTAAAAAACCAACTAATATTCTTTTTTGTGACAAAATTAAACAAATTTTTTGATATTATTTAGAGACACGAATAACAAAGTTATGATTTTTAAGGTGCGGATATAGTTATGTACAAACGTATTTGGGGCTAATAAATCATACATGATCCCCCTCTTAAAGGATAACGTGTTTAAATTTGTCAAAAAGTGTCGAACCCACTTAAGTTATGATAACTAATGCGCTTTAAAAGAAAATGCCCACGAGGACCAGGGTGATCGGGGTAGCGAGAACGGGATGTCGGTACGGCGGGCACACCACCGACAGGGGCTACTATCTTGTACTGTTATCAAGAAACGCTCGTGTGAAACATGGGACGACTTAAAAAGAAAATATCTAAAAATCTACGATTACCCACTATTACCTTATAAATGTCCAAGCCAGTTTCCTCTATCGATTTAAAAGACAAAGGGCAGCCCTGCACGACCGGTAGTCGAGTTGGCGCGGAATGTCACGTGAATCTAACTACATAGCTATCGCTTGTCTATACAATATCTTTTCTTCCATATCGAAAATCTCATTCTAACTGAAAACCTAACACAGGCGTAAAATATCCTCTAATCTTTTACGGACACGATTAATTGTGTCACGTGTGCACGTGGGGTATGTTTTGACTGAGCGCGTGCCGAAGAAAATTAATATAAAAAAATAGATTCAAAGTCAAAGTTGTTTTTTCAGAAATGAACAGTGAGAAGTCAGTGCTTGATCTGAATACGTGCCAAACATGATGAAAATCACAGGCTACTATTTCATTTGTTTGCAACTAAGCTATCGAGGGGGAGGCTCGGCCATTGTTCACTTGAATGGAGTACAATCGGACAATGATGACATAGCAATCAGCTATTCATGGAAAGCAATCTGCTGAAAAATATCGGCTGTAATGTAGCTGTGGCCCAGAAACTGGATAATTATCGGTGATGACAACGACAGTCTGTGTGAGAAATCACGACGGGCGACTCGGTATTTCCGCGCTTACGAATGACAGCGCGTGCCTTCCAAATATTAAACAGATGTAGGCCTAAGATTGCTGTGGAATCGCTGTTATTACTACCCACAAAACCAAGAATATCTTCCCGATGAAAATTTCCCAGTGAAATGAAATAAAAAACTCAAGATTACTGAATATATTGTCGGAAGTAGGGTAATGCCCGTTTAGTGTGATATTTACGTCAGTACTGATTCATCTGATAGGACACTGAGTTTATCATCCGCATTAGACAACTTAAAAAAATGGTCAGGATATAGCCCTTATCGTTGAGATCAGTGGTTTGTGTTTAAAGTTCGGATATCAAAACAAACTAAAGTGCATGAAAAAGTAAAGCTAGCGTGGTCTGTACAACGCGCTGGACGTAGGCACTTGGTACCGTCCATCCATACTTTCCCACGATAAAGAAACCTTGACTGTATCAGACAAAAATCTAGGTCGTTACACTGACCATACTTGTCAGAATATTTCATTGCTATAGATCTGATGGCAATAATATAATAGAACAATATCTATGCAATTGACATTTAATAGAAGTCAGGTGCTGTCAGTCATAATTCTCTTTAAAATACCCGAAATCGTTTTTATTACCAGTAAACTGGTACAAACCCAAAGTCGATACAAACGTTAATTTGAAGCGTTATTTTTATAAGTGAAATTATACATATAAAGTAAGAAAACTGTAGACTCATATTGAAAGTGAATTGGAGAAAAGCTGATTTCATTAACCTTGACAACATTACAAAAGTTCAAGATATCCTTATTTATCTAAAAAAGTCAAGACTTGTTTTGTCTTTTCCTCCAATTGGGTAAGATATACTGGGGACATAAAATTATATCTGTAACATGTATCAACGTTCTTTACTCATACTGTGTCTGACGACTGGGCAAGGCGAGTATAGACTTCGGTGTATCTCGTCTAATGACGTTTAGTCATTTGGAAGTCCGTTTTGTTACTGAGTCATCGTCTCGACGGTTTTTAAAATAATAATATATTCAATACATCAATATTGTAATACTTTTATGTTACGTTATATTTATTCATATTGTAATACTTTATCTAACATTACATTTATTCATATTGTAATACTTTTTCCATGTTACTTTGTGATTTCATAAATTGTAATAATTTGATCTTGTTTTCTTAAGTTCGTCCCTGAGTAGTTCAATGCAACATAACTTATCTTATCCTGGTCATCAACAGATATACCGTTGTGATTTTATCAAGACTTTATCTGCTTGGCACAATAAAATCTACATGTCTGTCGTCTAGTCACATCAAGTGATTTAGATTTTGTCGTCGATTTTGAAGTCTGTCTGTTTCATACCATTATTTGATAGTTAAAACTATCGACAATGACACAACAACGAAAAGCATAGTAGTTATCTACTTTAAGCACCAGCATCAGATACTCTCGACAATTACAAAGTCTTCTACCCATACTAGTGTAATCTGTCTACTCAATTGTAGAACGTCTGTGTCCATCTTGAATTTCTAACGTAATATTATCTTAATCAGCAACGATGTGATAGATCCCAATTTAGCACAAGTATATTTCTATTGATTGATTTTTTAAAAAAGATGGACATTGTTAAGCCATAGTTAAGTGATTATATACATTTTGCACTTCGTTAACAATTATCAATTTTAAACGGGTTTTATCGATGTGGTGAAGAAATCATTTAGCAATATTAGATAGACTTCGCAGTACGTAATACAATGTCGCCAAGCCGAAACTTATAGCTACCAAAGGACCATTCCTTTTGATTTCTACAGTTATAAATGGTTCGTTACTACAATTTGAACAAGATGTTTTACAAAAAAAAAACAACAACATAATATGTTATTTTAAGAATTATAATGTGAAAAGAAATATAATGAATTTGGGGTTATCATCTGCGAAACACACTGTGAGCGTTATCATTGCTCTTGTATGAAAACAATATTTGTAAGCCGTGTAACATATTGTATGCCATGTTTACTTATTTATTTACCACTACCGTATGTTGAAAAAAAAACGAAGAGAGGTTGGTTTGTTTTTAAGAATTTGTACAACCGAAAGTGTTTTGAAGGCGGAATTTTCTTTATCTAGAAATTTCAACTCTTATGCGTAGAGATTTCAACAGGAAGTGTTCTTCTGGGTGCAATCTCATTAGTGTGTTGGTAACTGGTGCAAAACAATTACCATCAATAATTATTGTAGTCCTTGCAGTCAACAATAAAAATACACAAAAACACGAATTTAGGTTGTGTATGTGTATACGGTTTTGGACAGTTTAAGCAAAAACGTAAAAGCGCATCTGTATTTTTGGGCTTGTTTCTTTTATACAGCTAAGGGATAATAAATGCCTGGACAAGTGTGCCGTTTATATTTGTCCACCTACACACATAATATTTTGAGTGTTTTATTTTACAATTATACATGGAGTTTAAATAATATAGCAATGATATGTTGTAAATCATGTCAAACAGCAGAATGGTTTTAATTAAGTTCGAGTTTCCGTTTTCCGTCACAAATCAGATATTCTTCAAAAAAAAAACATTCTGGCTTACATTTCAAGTAATCATAAAGCGGGTTTAGAAAATTCAGACAAAATCTTTGATAATGCTAGGTCTTTTTACCAGCTAACTTGGAGAAATATATAAAAATTTTCATTACAAGAAAAGAAATATTTTGAAGTATGATGTATTACACTTATACCCGTGATGACTATCCAATACTGATACCATGGAAAGGGTGAACTTCACCAACGTTACAACAGTACCTTTCTAAGGTATCTAGAATATTGAAATTCTCTTTATTTGTGCTAATTAAAGATTACGCACACATGCACGTAATTGTTTTGTACTGAGCATAAACTTGTTCTATATATATTTAAGCTAGCATTCAGCTGCATGTCGGATAATTCTTTCAAATTTACTCCAAGTCTCTAAAATATCTTGCTCAAACTGAGTTATTTTCCTCTTTGTAATATCACCATGGTCATTGCATGTAATAATGATTAAATGATTTGTTTTCGGTCTATTAGATAAATCTATATTGAGAAGATGTCATGTTTCGAAATTTGAAATGACCAAATTGACATCCCGTGCTACAAACGTTGCTTGATCCAGTAACATGCGTTCGTGTATGTTGACGTCATGTTCTTGTGTGTGTTGACGTCATGTTCTTGCGTTTCGACGTCATATTCTGAGGTGTTGATGCCATGTTATTTTTTAAGTTCTGTTTTTGGAAGTGAGATTAATGTAACCACGATTTAAACACTAATTAATAGTACCATGGGCTTAGATAACATATCGCATATGCTATATATTGATACCTGGCGAAAACACTTAATCAAAATAGAACTCACCATCATCCATACCGTCTGCAACTAAATCCTTTACGCTGATGTTGTCGTCTAATTTATCCTTTTCCTTTTCACAATCCTCATCGTCATCATCTAATTTTTCGTTGTCGTCATCATCGTCGCCATCACCGCATCTGTTACGTGGCGACCATGTCATTTTATTTTCCTTTTTCAGCCTCCTTCTGGCGTTAGCAAACCACGTGCTGACCTGTGTTAAGGTCATCTTGGTGATGATGGCCAGCATGATTTTCTCGCCCTTGGTAGGGTAAGGGTTCTTCCTATGTTCATACAACCAAGCTTTGAGGGTGTTTGTCGTTTCCCGTGTTGCATTTTTCCTCCTCGCGGCACCGTTTAGGTCCATACCGCCGTATCTAAATTAACAAGAAAATAATAAATTCCGGTTCATGCATTCGACAATCATGAACATGTTTTTAAAAAAGATCATGACTCTTTTGATTTTTTTAAAATTTTCCTATTTGGCCACAATTGAAACAGATCAAAGGACTCTGGCATCTTCATAATTTGTGAAACTTACGTGTTGCCGTAAGGATACGAGGCCATAGCTGGGTCGTACGGGTAACATGCCCCTGGTTGTGTGATGCTCCGCCAGGCGGCATCAGCGTTGTCCTTCAGATCATAATGGGCATTCTAAAAAAAAAGACGACAGAACACATTACTAATCAAACTACGTTGAAAAATCCTGTGAGCTAGTTACTTATTGAACTATGCATTTTTAACATGTAACTGGTCAATTGGCGGTTAGGTACATTATCAAAAACGTCAACGCGAAAGACAAATTATTTTTGATAAAAAACTGTCGACAAAAGACACAACACATGAACACGTCCATTGACAATGCTGTAGTCGGTTTCTACCAGCACGGAATCGATGATACTCTGAAATAATGACATAATTGAACAACGACTGTGTATGTCACTCAGTAAAATTAACACAAAACAATACTAGAAACAGTGGAAGATAATTCTCTAATCAATAATTAGCTCTCGATGACAGTGTAATACTATTGTGAGGCTCTGTGTTAAGTGTTATCTTTATAACTATCCCCATCCATCAAAGGCTTAACAATATTTAAACAAACTCAGCTTCCTTTTTTTACAGTGATACTGCCTTTTTCCCAGTTCGTATGTCTCTCCGTTACAGATATAATTACGCTGTTTACATTGCGTAGTGAAGTGTTTTGTATAGGGAATGCCGGGGTGGGTTGTAATTACACACAGTGAAGTGACATGCGGAAGTCCGTCTCGGGAGGGGCAGACCGAAGATATTTGAAGGGGCTATCTAGTTAGGGAATAGTCCCTTCCGCAGCGAGGCTAATAAGACTCCGATCTCCCGGGGAGTTTTGAAGATTCGGAAAATTTGTGAACAAGTTTGAAGGTAATTGGGCTGAGGAGTGTAGGGATTGTCGGCAGTATGGCGGACAGGAGTTGATCGCTATCGGCTCCCTACTGTAAAAACGCCATTTTATCGCGTCACCCTTAGAGGTCTATTTGCTTCAAATTTAATTCAAGTGTAACGGAAGAGCAAGCAGTGCATCTCCGCCAGAGCCTGTTTAAGTCGAGAAGAATTTTAGCATCCCTCCACAACAGCGGTCAAATCTTAATGAATCTTCTTACGACAGTGGTCAATCTTCGTGAATTTCTCTCAAATAGAGGTCTTTTTTTTGGCGAATCTCTCTCTTTGGTTCACATTGAATGTTCACGGCCGTTGTGATTGTATACCTGAACTTACACGTGATATTATCACTTAAATACATTAGACAATTTGCTCAATCTGCATCCGGAAACCATCCTCATATTGTTCAATGTTAGCCGCGATCCAACAATAGTTGTGGTTGAGGGTATTGTATTTTTTTAACAGATTCATATTCCAGATGAAACGAAAAAAAATGAATTATAAGTGACGAAGGATTCGTTTTATCAAAGTTCTGTCAGATTTAAGAGCACTGATAGAAGTCGGATGAAGGGGCTCAGAAGAAACAGATCAAAAGTCCTTTGAAGAATTGTTAGTTATGAACTTGCAGTTTCGTATCTACTGTTATATTTTGTAGGAACGAGTTAAAATTTCTTAATCTTCTTCAGTTTTGATGAAAAAAAAACTATTTGGACAATGTTGATAAAATTTTGATATGTTAACTTTTATGCGGTATCAAACTTCAGGGCCCCAGAGTAAGACCATCATTTTATTACGTCAACGCAAAAATTTCCAGAACTCTTTATTTTATCTGTATACATTTCATCTACCGATATATATTTCACTTACTGTAATCATAGACGAATTGTAGATAAGTACAATATATATGTAGGTAATTTTAGAAGAACAGCAGTTAATTTTTTTTTTTTTTTTTTGCGTTCGTAAAAACTACACGATCTTAAATTTTTGTCTGTCATACTTTTCAGAACACCGTTACCAAATTAATTTCATATATATATAATGGTCAGTTTAAGTGATTATAGTGACCTAAACATTGACCCTTCTGATACGGTCAGTAATGATATAAAACGTGTAATGTTGACAGGTAAGCATAGATACTGTATATCATGTGAGACATTACCTAATCACCTCCGATTTAATCAATTCATCATGTAATTAACAGTTTGTCTTGACATCGACGATCCAGGCCTTTATCGAATATTATATAATAAAAAAATGATCTCCACTGACCAGTTAGTGAGCGCATGCGCCTACAACATTTATCAGCAGCTGACAGTCCCGACGTTAAGTGATAACGACCCTGTCACCGTGGTAGTCTATGGTTAACGAGAGTTGTCAGCCCGTCCCCACCTGCGGCCACGTGATGTAGCGATGACGTAAATCACGGACCCCGCCCCCGGGCCTATCTAGGCAGAGTAAGCACCTCGGCTCGCGCCTGGCCCGGGGAGACCGGCCATATATTATAGCTGTAGCACCTGTACTCTGTCCTGGCTCGCATCGATCTTACAGATTAGGCACTTAACTCCCAGCAGAGGAGACAGTTCATTTCCTAAAGCATTGATTATGACGACGACAAGACAAATATCGGGGTTTAAAGTTATGTTGAAATAACAAAGTGTATTGTCTGAGTCAACAGTGGTTATCACAATATTGACAAAGGACATTCGAGGAAGTCGATGGCCTTTTATATGGCGGCAATGTTAACAGTGTTTTACGAATCAAACGATGTACAGGCACGTGTGGTAATGGACAGGTGGGCAGGTTATGTAGAACTCTAGTTGGTCGGGGTGGGGCAAGGTGGGCAAAGTACATACTTGTATCTAGGACAGAGAGATGGTCAGGGTGGGGCAAGGTGGTAGGGTACACAGGGTACATACCTATACCTGGGACGGAGATATTATCGGGGATAAAGGCAAAGTTGGGAAAATACATACATGTATATAGGACGGAGTTGTTGGTCAGGGTGGGGCAAGGTGGTAGGGCACACAGGATACATACCTGTACCTAGGAAGGAGAGATTGTCGAGGGTTAGGCAAAGTACATACTTGTACCTTGGACGGAGAGATGGCCGGGGTAGGTGACGATGGGATGAAGGGTGGAAATTCTTGGTCCAGAGAGCACACCACAGAGGAAGGATTTGAGTTATAAGGCATCTGTATCTGGGTCCGAGATATAGCCGGAGGTGAGGGAATGGGACAGGCAGGGTTTGCGTTAGAGAACATACCTGTATCTTGAACAGGTACAACAAAATTCTGACCAATACCAATGGCAAGGGGGTGACGATGGGGGGATTGATGGCAAGAGATTGACAGACCGAACCATCGTTCGGCTTTCGAAAGATAACAGTTCAAATAATCTTTTCGATATCATAAAACAGTTCTATTGACAAATATCATACCTGTGCAATATTTGATCTCAAATTATAGGTAGGTACGTCTAGAGCGAGTTTATAGTGTGAGTAAACGGCTAAGGAAGGGTTGGCAAAGAAGGGAGTGACATATTAATTATGAAACAAAAGTTCTTGTTTTTTAAATTCTTGTACAATTTCCAATGAAATATTATCAATCTAATCTAAATCGGGTTTCTCCTTTCAGTTCGAGCTACATCCATCGTTACTTGAAGTAGAAGTGAAATGAGAGATATGATTTTACATGTAATTAAAGACTTGAAGATAAAGAGAAAAAAGGGGAGATTGAGGTACCAGAAGGCATTGACACTGGAGAAACAAGGAACATTTCTTATCGCTATAAATGATACATGTCAACAGGTATTTGTTTTAAGTAGGTTGAATTGTATCGTATTTTCATAACATCATTATGACACAGCATTTGTAATCTATTTTTAAAATTGGATCCTAAAATTACAGAATGATAAAAAAAAACGGAGAAAATCTATTATTTATCAAAATCTTAAAATTAATCCGTACGATATATTATTGCACGGTAATTAAGGGATAACACAAACGACATTGTAACAATATATTGTACTCAGTACAGTGTTATTGAATTACATAACACTTCTAAAGCGGTGGTCTCGGTAACTGTTCCATAACCCTGTTTTATCAAGTATTAAATAAAGAATGCCTATTTATTTATTTATTAAGATTCTTTGAGGAATATAGAATAATGATAAATAAATTGTTTTATTTCTGTTTATTCTTGGTCTGTAAGATTCTAATACCTACTTTCTTAAGTCTGCATTATTCATTGTTAAGTGCATGTTTGTCAGTAAAATGAGTCCAATATTATTTCATTTGATCAATCAATGTAAGATACATATATATTTATTTCATATAGGACGTAATTTCCAGGTTATTGCACTTTCAACTGTATTGTGCTATGCTATGCTATTAAGTATTCCACAATTTATTTTTCCCGTGAGTGATATCCTGTGCGAAGTTTGTTGTAGTTGGCAATTATGGTGCTAATCGTCACCATGGTTGGTGACGGACTCGCTGTAAACTTACCAATGGGGAGTAGAAGGCTGACGGATCTGTCCCCAGGGCGGACACGTACCCCTGGGCGGTGTAGGGGGCGGTACTGTACACGGAGTCTGTGAGCCCCGGGACCCGGGGATAGGCGGACAGGAGGCCCGACCCGTACTGACAGGAACACACCGTCTGTCCAGTGTGTGGGTCCGTCATTATAGGCCGTCCATTCTCACAGCATGATGTAGATACGGGTGGCAGGGCGGAGGGCGTGGCGGTCGACATCAGGACCTGCGGACGAACATACAGACAAAATGTTCATACTTTATCTACAGTACCGATGAAAAAAACCACAATAACACAAAAAACACTAACATAGCTAGAGTAATTTAGCTTTTAAAATACCGTGTAATAACAAAGTTAAAAAAATAGTTGTAAGTTGAACATGAAATCTTTATCTGAAAACAATATTTGATTTTATCAAAAGCGCAAATATGTCGTGAACTGACAGTAAACTCACCACATCATTAAATTTTATTATCCTTATGAGAATGAACAGTTGTATATCATTATCTGATATCTTTTAACATTTAAAACACTTTGATGACCTTGTTAAACAATTTGCATGGGTATGCATTGAAAGCTAACACTTTATACGCTGATGACTATAGACTAAGATTTAACATATTTTTTCAATATTTTTTCCGCGATGTAAAATGAAAGATTTTACTATACTGTATACTATAAATATTCTATGTTTTTTGTATTTGAACAATACATATTAGTACTTTCACTTCGGGTTATATAAACATAGGATCTCCTGCAGAATACCTTCAAGTCGGTTCTGGATATATAAAATTAACGTACAATCTTTACCAATTTAACTGTCATTTTACATACAAGTAAAGTTTACAACGTGTTATCCATCTTTAGAGAAGTATTATGCCATATTTATTTAATTTTCTTTATAGTAGAACATTTAAAGTTGACATTCCTCGCTAAGAGAAATAAGAAGGGAGGATATATACAGGGATTTGACAAGATGTATTTTAACCCCTGTTCAAGATTGTTGTCTATATTTAAACTTATTTTAGAGGGACGGTCTATCTGTAGTGTATTTTTGTTGTAAACAAGGGGATCTCGGCGATTAGGACGTCAGGAACACTTGACAGTAAGCACTCTTCTATATTACTCAATCACAATATTAATCCGAGTTTATTTTTTTACTTATCATTCATAAAAGTAACGGTCTGTGACAATATTTATCCGGAAATCACTACACCAACATTCTAAATATCCTCTGTGTCTCCTGACAATATTAGTTTTTACAACACATTCACGATAAACAAAACGTCATTTTTTTAATAATTATGATTAAAATCGCAATCAGTTAGCAATAAAATTACATTTTAAATTTATTAGGCGACAAAGTATTGAGGGAAACAATTGAATCCATAAAACTAATTGGTAATTGATTAAAAGAGCGCGGTAATGATTTTTTGTTACATGACAGTAAAATGTAACGACGGGCTATTACGAGAACGGAGAGAACAAAAATTCACACGTTGTTCATATCTGTCATGTCACACGCGTATCTATTGGATATCAGCTAAACTTCCTTTTTAATTTTATATTTCAAACCCTCTAAAAGTCATATAACGAAAACGCACAATCACATGTAGTAAATTAAATTAAAATCGAATCTTATTTTTCTGAAACAATCAGTATTTGAATTGGTACAAGACAATATATGTTTGGATGCATAGGTAAAAAACAGGTAGATTGACATATTGAGTATATACAAGTGTATTAAGTCTCGTGATTACAATAGATATAGTTAGGTGAGAGGGTACTTACCTGTGATGTTTGAGAAGACGGGGGGTAGGAATATCCGAGGGGGGCTAGGGACATAACACAAGCCCTCGATAGCAGGAATAGTTCCCAAAACGTTTAAATATAGAAGACTTTCATCCGCAGAGAAGAAAATGTTAGATCGAATACGACCAGCTTGTATACTCTCAAACACAAGTTAGTATAAATATTGACATAAAACTTAGGGTCCGGTCAGAAAGGCTGGTCTGGACATAGGGGCAGCTCAGTACACATTACACTTTGCCTCCATATACCAGCGAATTAGATGTCGCTTGTTTCCACAGATGTTAATATTGACTTGACAAGGGACATGACAGCTCCGTGTAAGGGCTACCCTCCTCTCTGCCCAGAGAATAAAGTAGCCTGATTGGCAGTCCGTGCTCTTCCTATTCCTGTTTATTGGCTAGCGTAATTGCGCGTGAGAAATGACTTTACGATTCGACGCCCCGCCCACAGACACGCCCACTGATGCTTTGGCCATGTTTACACGGGCTGCAGAATGGTGATAATTGCATAAGGCTATAATAAAATTTGACATGGAACATGTCGGTAGTAGATGAGCGATAACTATGATGTAGTCCCGACCGTATTACACTACTCTATACCAGATCACGTACACGCTTTTGTTTATCCGAGACGAGGGGTTGTATATCTATATATTTAATACAATGATAACATTATGTCTAGGTAAAGTCGTCTTGATTTATGAACGGCATTTACAGACTATGAACTGTCAACAAGCACACAGTGTAAATGGCCCGTCGCGTGGGAGGGGGTGCAATAGTTTTATATGAAGAGCATGACGGAAGGTGTTTCATGGACAATTAAAACGGCTTCCAACTCTACATTATCTCTGCCTCACTTTATTTTTTTTACTGTCGGAAATTAATATAGAATATTTGTATATAAATATACATTAAAAAAAAACTGAATAGGGTCACAGTATGCAAAACATATGACCATATAATTTATTAGCAAGAATGAAATTGTTCAGAAATGACGACCTAATTATATATTAGTGTTCATGTGTTTCATTAACACGTACTAGTAAAGTACGTATGTTGACAATAGGGAGGTGACCTTACCAAGCAAGGGAGGGTGAAATATCTTTATTTGTACTAACATGGCACCTGGGGAATATTTGACCACAGGAGGTCGAGAGAAGTTATGTTTATCATAAGAGAATGTTAATATTTATGTAAACATATGTACCAAAGGCGGGTGTTAATATATGTATATGTGTATCATGGGAAGGTGTTTGTACAATGTATCTGATAATGTATTGATATGTGTATCACGGGAGATGAAAGTATACATGTGTACCGCGGGAGAGTAGAAGTATATATGTGTACCATAGTAGAAGTATATATGTGTACCATAGGACAGTAGAAGTATATATGTGTACCATAGGAGAGTAGAAGTATACATGTGTACCACGGGAGAGTAGAAGTATACCACAGTAGAAGTATATATGTGTATTACGGGAGATTAGAAGTATATATGTGTGCCATAGGAGAGTAGAAGTATATATGTGTACCTAAGAGAGTAGAAGTATATATGTGTATCATAGGAGAGTTGAAGTGTATATGTGTACCATAGGAGTGTAGAAGTATATATGTGTACCACAGGAGAGTAGAAGTATATATGTGTATCATAGTAGAAGTATATATGTGTATTACGGGAGAGTAGAAGTATATATGTGTACCATAGGAGTGTAGAAGTGTATATGTGTACCATAGGAGAGTAGAAGTATATATGTGTACCATAGGAGAGTAGAAGTATATATGTGTACCATAGGAGAGTAGAAGTATATATGTGTACCACAGGAGAGTAGAAGTATATATGTGTATTACGGGAGAGTAGAAGTATATATGTGTACCATAGGAGAGTAGAAGTATATATGTGTACCATAGGAGAGTAGTAGTATACATGTGTTCCACGTGAAAGTAGAAGTATATATGTGTACCATAGGAGTGTAGAAGTGTATATGTGTACCATAGGAGAGTAGAAGTATATATGTGTGCCATTGGAGTGTAGAAGTATATATGTGTACCATAGGAGAGTAGAAGTATATATGTGTACCACAGGAGAGTAGAAGTATATATGTGTATTACGGGAGATTAGAAGTATATATGTGTACCACAGGAGAGTAGAAGTATATATGTGTATTACGGGAGAGTAGAAGTATATGTGTACCATAGTAGAAGTATGTATGTGTACCATAGGAGAGTAGAAGTATATATGAGTACCATAGGAGAGTAGAAGTATATATGTGTACCACGGGAGAGTAGAAGTATATATGTGTGCCATAGGAGATTAGAAGTATATATGTGTGCCATAGGAGAGTAGAAGTATATATGTGTGCCATAGGAGTGTCGAAGTATATATGTGTACCATAGGGGAGTAGAAGTATATATGTGTGCCATAGGAGAGTAGAAGTATATATGTGTACCGTAGGAGAGTAGAAGTATATATGTGTAACATAGGAGTGTAGCAGTGTATATATGTACCACGGGAGAGTAGAAGTATATATGTGTGCCATAGGAGATTAGAAGTATATATGTGTACTACGGGAGATTAGAAGTATATGTGTACCATAGGAGTGTAGAAGTGTATATGTGTACCATAGGAGAGTAGAAGTATATATGTGTACCATAGGAGAGTAGAAGTATATATGTGTACCATAGGAGAGTAGAAGTATATATGTGTACCATAGGAGAGTAGAAGTATATATGTGTACCATAGGAGAGTAGAAGTGTATATGTGTATCATAGGAGAGTAGAAGTATATAGGTGTACCATAGGAAAGTAGAAGTATATATGGGTACCATAGAAGTATATATGTGTACCATAGGAGAGTAGAAGTATATAGGTGTACCATAGGAGAGTAGAAGTATATATGTGTACCTAAGAGAGTAGAAGTATATATGTGTATCATAGGAGAGTAGAAGTATATATGTGTACCACAGGAGAGTAGAAGTATATATGTGTATTACGGGAGATTAGAAGTATATATGTGTATCATAGGAGAGTAGAAGTGTATATGTGTACCATAGGAGTGTAGAAGTATATATGTGTACCACAGGAGAGTAGAAGTATATATGTGTATCATAGTAGAAGTATATATGTGTATTACGGGAGATTAGAAGTATATATGTGTACCATAGGAGTGTAGAAGTGTATATGTGTACTAAAGAGAGTGGAAGTATATATGTGTACCTAAGAGAGTAGAAGTATATATGTGTATCATAGGAGAGTAGAAGTATATATGTGTACCATAGGAGAGTAGAAGTATATATGTATATATGTGTACCATAGTAGAAGTATATATGTGTACCATAGGAGTGTAGAAGTATATATGTGTACCATAGGAGTGTAGAAGTATATATGTGTACCATAGGAGAGTAGAAGTATACATGTGTTCCATAGGAGAGTAGAATTATATATGTGTACCATAGGGCAGTAGAAGTATATATGTGTACCATAGGAGAGTAGAAGTATATATGTGTGCCATAGGAGATTAGAAGTATATATGTGTGCCATAGGAGTGTCGAAGTATATATGTGTACCATAGGGGAGTAGAAGTATACATGTGTATCATAGGAGAGTAGAAGTGTATATGTGTATCATAGTAGAAGTATATATGTCTACCATAGGAGAGTAGAAGTATATATGTGTATCATAGTAGAAGTATATATGTGTATTACGGGAGATTAGAAGTATATATGTGTACCATAGGAGAGTAGAAGTTTATATGTGTTTCATAGGAGTGTAGAAGTATATATGTGTACCACAGGAGAGTAGAAGTATATATGTGTACCATTGGAGTGTGGAAGTATATATGTGTGCCATTGGAGTGTAGAAATATATATGTGTACTATAGGAGAATAGAAGTATATATATTTACCACAGTAGAGAGGAAGTATACAAATCTATATATGTGTTTTGTCTGTTTTATCTGCATGCTAGTATTGACTATTATTAAAAGAACGTTTAAAATATGATTAGACTTTTTCCGAAATCTGAGTTCATGGGGAAAAAGGTAATGAACAGAAAAAGCTTCACTGAAGAGTCCTAGAAGGACGAGACAGCTATATGATGCAATTCAACTCTTTGATTTGCTGTAATGTATCTGAACGAAATTGATATTAAAAGATTCTATTCGCTTGTCTTTTATAAATCTTCCGTCATATTGTAACATTATCATACTGATATAGGTTTTTCAATTGCGATTTTTTTCTTTCCTATATAGTAACCATTTGCTGTCATAGCTGTTTGAATATTTGCAATGTAAGAGCGATTTTTTACTTTCATGATTATCGTCGTCGTTGTTGTTTTTCCGTCTTCGTCGTCGCCGTCGTCGTCGTCGTTGTGATCGGCGTTGTTGTCGTCGTCGTCGTTGTTGCTGTTGTTATTGTTGTTGTTCTCGTTGTCGTTGTTGTTGTTCTCGTCGTCGTTGTTGTTGTTCTCGTTGTTGTTGTTGTTGCTGTTGTTCTCGTTGTTGTTGTTCTCGTTGTTGTTGCAGTTGGTGTGTTGTTATTGTTGTTGTTGTTGTCGTCGTCGTTGTTGTTTTTCCGTCTTCGTCGTTGTCGTTGTCGTCGTCGTTGTCGTTGTTGTTGTTGTTATTGTTGTTGTTGTTATTGTTGTTGTTCTCGTTGTTGTTGGTGTGTTGCTGTTGTTGGTGTGTTGGTGTTGTTCTCGTTTTTGTTGTTGTTGTTGTTATTGTTGTCGTCGTCGTTGTTGTTGTTTTCGTCGTCGTCGTTGTTGTTTTTCCGTCTTCGTCGTCGCCGTCGTCGTCGTCGTTGTGATCGGCGTTGTTGTCGTCGTCGTCGTTGTTGCTGTTGTTATTGTTGTTGTTCTCGTTGTCGTTGTTGTTGTTGTTGTTCTCGTCGTCGTTGTTGTTGTTCTCGTTGTTGTTGTTGTTGCTGTTGTTCTCGTTGTTGTTGTTCTCGTTGTTGTTGCAGTTGGTGTGTTGTTATTGTTGTTGTTGTTGTCGTCGTCGTTGTTGTTTTTCCGTCTTCGTCGTTGTTGTCGTCGTCG